AACTAGTACAAAAATTTAACTAGTAAACACAATTACGAGCAATCTTTTCATTTCTATAAAAATTGTTCTTTTCATGAAATCCACTACGTACGTGGAGTTGACATCATGCTAATGACTCTTGTTTCTTTTTCTCAGTCTAGTTAGAAGAATATATAAACCATCCCTTCGTGAAAGCTTTCTTTTATATATCAATATGATATTCAGTGGAGAATCAGGATTTTTATTACGAAAATTTAAAAAATAAACAACGTAAACTCCTAAAGAAATTAAAGAGATTTAACAGTTAATATATATATAGTTTTTAACCTTATATATATAGTATAATTTTTCAGCGAAAGGGATTCGATGAACCTCTCCCGACCCTGACTCCGCTCATGATGATACCACTAGACGAATATTCTATTTCCAATTTGTAAGATAGAGGGGCAAAGAAAATGATTTATTAGAAGTTGGAACTGAAGCATGGGAAAACAGTCATGGCCCATTGTTCCCCATTGCTTTGCTCAACTTGAAACTTTTACTAACACACCTGAATTATATGGTTCACTTCACATCTAGTTAACATTTATTTCTTACTACTAATCTTTTTCTAGATTTAAATCATTGAATTCTATAAGCTTTTCAACATTTATAACAGAATGGTGACTACCATCTTACATATAGAACCAAGTATAAGTCCAAAGTCAAAGATACATATATATAAAGCCTTAACCGATTTAAAATATGATAGAGCATAAGACAATAGTGCCCCAATTAGTTATTTTGGTTTTCACTAATTTTCTTAGTATTACAGAAAAGAATAGGCTAATCACTAATACATTATTTTATAAGTTATTAAGCTTTGCTGTCATGATTAGTAGATACGAAGAGAAAAATGATTGACCATGCGCAGAAGCGGATCTAGGATTTCTAGTACATGAGTGCACTACTAAAAAAAGAAGGAAAAACTGTAGTAAGTGGAAATTGATCCCTATACCTCTTGGTAAATAACTCAATTTTCAAGCAAGTGCATCATTCAATTTTCTTGGAGCATGGGTGTCAATAGTTAATATTATACCAATTTTAGAAAATATGTACATAAAGTATCTAATTTTACAGAAACACCTAGTTCACATGCCCCATAATTACACCTATAAATTCGCCCCTGCATGCATGCAAAGATACAACAATAAATATGCCTTAGGCTCAAACATGTTGAGATCGGCTATATGAATCCTCACTTCGAGGATGACTAATTCAAAAATGCA